TCAAATAGCATAAATCACTATTTGTTTTTCCAACCAGAATATTATTTTGAAAATACAGAAAATTAAATACAATGAAGATACCAAAAAAGAGTTCTGTCTTAAGATTGTAGGACAATCTTCACTGTATTTAAAAAGATTTAATTCTGTTATGTACAAAACAACAACAAGAATATAAAGAAATAAAGAAAATGAGAGAATTTGTTTGATTACAAAAATCAAACTCGAAATAAAAATAAATAAATAAAAACAGATTTTATTTTGTTACAAAAACAAAAATAAAATCAGATTAAATAAACATAATAAAAAACAGAATAAAATTAAACAACTTACTTGGTTAATTTATTTGAATAACTTTTCTGATCAAGTCCAGTGTTTAACACTGTGTCCTTAAGACAGATTCGTCCTCTCCACGGTACTTTCAGAATTTGGACGTCTATCTCCCAGGATGAAATGATCTTACCACAAACAATAGCAGCACTACAAATTGTTTGCCTTACGAACACACTAAGTGTTTATACTCTCTCTGACAAGAAAATAATGCAGCAAAATGAAGAGGAAGTTTGCAGAATTATGAAGAACGAAAATTAGAGTTACAAAATCCAAATGAGGGTGGTCCTATTTATAGATGTAAAGGTGGCTCTTGGTTTTAAATTGAACAGGTATGATACCTGTTGGTTTTGAATTCAAACAGATAGCAAAAAACGGGAAGGGCCTTGTTTGGGTGTGCACTAATGTTTTTGGCCCAAAAAGATTAGTATTGGGCCGACCAAGCCCAACCACACACCACGTCCCCGCGCCCAGGCCAGACGGACGCTGGCGGCGGCGCGCGCGTGTGGTGATTTTTGGGTCCAATGAGTCTAGCCCATTTTGCCCATAACCTCTTCCTCTAAAACACTTGGGTACCCCTTGGGGCACACCCCAAGTATCTCACCCAAGCCTTATAAACCCTTTCAAAACTTCCCACCAAATCAATGTGGGACAAGCCAATTTACAACCTTAAGGAATTTCCACCAAAACTCCATTTCCATGGAGCACACTTTGGCTTCAATTTCCCATTCACTCGGTAATGGTTTTGAGCAACCAAATATACCACGTGAATCACAACGCGGCATAGAACGCGTTATCACTTTGACCCGTGTAAATCGATGCACGGGGCCCACCTAAAAAATAGACCAAACTTGAGAAAAAATTCTGGTTTTATCCAGAATTTTTCTACCATTTCCAACAGACATGACTGGCCATGTAGGTGACTTTGGGTAAGCAAGATTCTTACCAGAAGCCACCCACAGCTTCTCCACAAATCAAGGAAGCTCAATAGGAGTAAGAGGATCTGTTGGATATGCTGCTCCCGGTAAACATTCTTTCACCCACTTTTCATTAATTAAATTTCCATTCTCTTTTTCCTCAACATTCTTAGGAGAATTCTATTATAAATTTGCATTTCGCATATTGAATTTAAGTGGCACACACAGATATCTTAATTGTGACACCTGTAGAGGGAAAAAAATGGAATTCCTTGTATTTTGCCTTCTACAAACACAATCAAAGTAGGCCACGGAATGATGAAGATTTGATGTGGAAGAACTGCTTTCCTCAAAAAATTGATTAACTGCTTCCATTTTTAATACTTCTAATGTGTTTTGTTTTGCGTTAGTTTGAGAAATAGATAACAAAAACAAGATTACGATTACGATTGCCTATACAATTCCCAAATGCCAAAACAAATGAGAGGAAAATGAGGGTTATCTTAGGAGTATTCTCGTACTTTTCATTTGACATTTTCTTGCTAGTCTTCGTTTCGATTTGAAACAATCGAAAACCTAATTGTTCTGTGAGTAATATGTGTATTGGTGGTTTCTATTAAAATTGGCCCCTATGTTTGTCATGAGATGGAATTTGACTGGTATGACAAATTAATGGTGAGAAATTTGTTTGTGATGTGTGCTTTATCTGGTCAAACAAATAACAGCGTATTACTTCTTGATTACTTCATAAGAATTTAGGTTGATGTTAACTTATTCAAAATTCAAACCATTGATGGCCTTTTCTAATGAAACAACTGATTTTTAGATAAGGATTTGAGTGTCTTGACCATTTCATTGCACGATTTGTTTCTTGTAGAGTACGCTATGGGAAGTAAGGAGTCAACAGAGGGAGATGTGTATAGCTATTCGGATTCTCTTGTTAGAAATGTACACAGGAAAGAGACCCACTGATGACATGTTCAAAGATAGTTTGAACCGTCATAACTTTGTTAGGCTGGCTTTGCCTCATCGAGTGGCAGATGTTACAGATCCAATGCTCTTTCGAGGAGGAGAAGAAGAGACTAGCACTCAAAACTTGCGCAAGAGAAGCTGCTCCAGGAGTGAAAAAATTCGAGACTGCTTAATTTCAATAATGCAAATTGGAGTCAATTGTTCTGCAGAGTTGCCGAAAAGAGAGGATGAACATCAGTGCTGTTGTAACTCAGTTGCATTCCATCAGGAACATTTTTCTTGTAACTATGCCCTCTGAGAACTAAATATGTAATTGAAATCAGTTGGTATACAAAATGTTTCTGGTTTCAAGATATCATTGAAAATATAATAGGCTTAATTAAGTGCTTTTTCTATGAACGACTTACTGATTTTGTTACGGGATTGTAATTTATTTGATTCCCTGCACAGGATCGATGCACCCTTCATGAGTAGCACCTGAATCTTGGATGTTGTTATTATTATTGTAATTACTTTAATTCCTTTTTACATATGCTTGATTTAATTTTAAATTGTTCATCCATCTCAAAAAACTTATCTATTTCGTATTGAATCTAGTAATTTTTGATACATTACGCCAGTAATTACTTATGTGACTTCTTCCATCCATTAAGAATTTGTGCTTGGCTTCCTCTTGATTATTGGAGCATACAACAAAAAGCAAAAGTTTCCAAAAAGTAACAAACAAATTAATCATGTTGTCAAATTTTATATCTGGGATGAAATTGGAAATTAACTCAAATCTGTCTTCTTTTCTGTCTACTTCATCTGAGTTTCTTCCCTTCAGTTTCTTTATTTTCAGATCATTGATGGTTATGCATCAAAAATATCTACCACGTTTGGAAGCTTTTTTTTTTTGCTGAGAAAAGTTATAATGCAGTTATATTAAAATAAAGTTTCGGCTGAGTTGCTCTACGTTTTGCAGTTTTGGACCTTATATGTGATGATCTATGAAGCACAAGTGCGGGTATGGATACTGGTACGAATACGATACGGATATATCGATATGGCAAGACCTAAAAAAATATAGGATACCGGTACAACCGGGGTATGTCAATTAATTTTTTATTTTTTTTAATTTATAGTTTGAGATTCACTACAAGAAAAGTGGGTATATGAGATGGGACTATTTGCGACGGCACACTTGGTTTAGTGTTTTTTTGCTATTTTAACACAGAAAAAGTGCACTTTATACAGATTTAGTACAAGTTGCTCTACTGGTGTGAAGTAATTTTTGTGCTAAAATCCGATGCTGTTGAGTGTGCTATTATTTTAGCGTATATTTCATTTTTACTTTGTTGATAATAAGTTTTTGCCTGAGGCTCCATGTTAGAGATGTTTATAACCATAATCAGATCATCTTTTATTTTGTCTCCCTTTCATTCATGTCATCCATTATTCTTTTCTTTCTTCCTTTCTTGAGTATCACTTATTTTCTTGTTAAAAATCTCATCGAATCACAAAAACTAAAGCTCGTAGGTGGATTAATAGCTTTATATTTCTTTATTGTTGGATTAGTAATGTCATGATAAATTAAACTACAATTATAATGGCATTGGTGTAATTTTTATTAAAAAAATCAATTGTACATGACTTCTTTAACAATTAAATGCACGTCTATGATGTTACTGCATGTCAAAAACATTCAACTTTGCTTTTGTGCAGTTTCACAGTTAATTCAACAATCCCTCCCCAACAAGGAAATTGTGTTTTTTTCTTTGTCGCTTCAACTTTGTTATTCATAAGAATGTACTGCCTGGTTGTTTTGGCATGAAAACATGTACTTCCTGACTGCCTCTTCATAATTGGCAATAGATATGCTTTTTGCTTGATTTTGATGATGATTTACATGATTCTAACAGGGAAGAGCACTCTATTAAATCATCTGTTTGGGACCAACTTTAGGGAGATGGATGCATTTAGGGGAAGGCATGTGCTCATAAAGCTCTCATGTTAGATCACTTTTGTTTTTGACCAGACATCATAAACTTAACAAGATCCTCTTCTCTTCTCTTCTTTTATTTTCTTTCTTTCTTTCTTTCTTTCTTTCTTTCTTTCTTTCTTTCTTTCTTTCTTTCTTTCTTTCTTTCTTTCTTTCTTTCTTTCTTTCTTTCTTTCTTTCTTTCTTTCTTTCTTTCTTTCTTTCTTTCTTTCTTTCTTTCTTTCTTTCTTTCTTTCTTTCTTTCTTTCTTTCTTTCTTTCTTTCTTTCTTTCTTTCTTTCTTTCTTTCTTTCTTTCTTTCTTTCTTTCTTTCTTTCTTTCTTTCTTTCTTTCTTTCTTTCTTTCTTTCTTTCTTTCTTTCTTTCTTTCTTTCTTTCTTTCTTTCTTTCTTTCTTTCTTTCTTTCTTTCTTTCTTTCTTTCTTTCTTTCTTTCTTTCTTTCTTTCTTTCTTTCTTTCTTTCTTTCTTTCTTTCTTTCTTTCTTTCTTTCTTTCTTTCTTTCTTTCTTTCTTTCTTTCTTTCTTTCTTTCTTTCTTTCTTTCTTTCTTTCTTTCTTTCTTTCTTTCTTTCTTTCTTTCGCGATTGCATGATTCGATTGAGATTCGTGGTTCAGGCTTGCAAATTGTATCAGTATGCATGATTCTAATGCAATGATCTGAGAATCCAGTTGGTGTAGGATTTTGATTTGAAACATAGGATGTAGCAACTAGGCATGCACATGTTGGTTTTTATTTTTATTTAGTTGAATTATTATTTTTTATTTTGGCTTTCTGTCCCTCATTTTGGTTTTTCAAATTGTCCTTTCAGGATGATACTGCGTTTGAAAAGCAAAGTGCCCTTTTTGCTCTTGCTGTTTCAGATATAATGCTAATCAATATGTAAGTTTGTTCTTATTTTAAGTTACATGCACTGCAATCAGTTAAAATTTATGACGGTCCTTGTACAGGTCATGATGCGATTATTTAGTCCACGTAAAACAACATTAATGTTTGTAATACGAGACAAAACAAGGGTATGTTTCCCTCTTCTTATTTCATGTTGCATTTCTACATTGATATTCTTTTATTTATTTGGCTTTGTTGAATTGAACTGAATCTTAATAGTGCATTTAACCTTTCTTCTTATTATTTTTTTTAAAAAAAAATTTGTTTGTGTAGACGCCGTTGGAAAACTTGGAACCTGTTTTGAGGGAAGATATTCAGAAGGTAATGTTGGAACCTATTTTGAGGGAAGATATTCAGAAGGTAATGTTCTTGGCTTTTGATACAGAGGCTACTGGAGAGATGCGATGGTGTTTCAAGCAAGGAACAGCTTTCTCTAATTTTTCCGAGGAAACCCTTCCAATTACAATCATGGCATAGATTGGGTTAATCTTATTTGATATGTAATTAAAGCAATTCTAGTATTAATGTAGCTAGTGACCATCTTATGTACATCTTTTTTTTTTTTTTTTTGCCCTTGGCTTTGTTTTTATGTTGTAGTGTTTCAATGGTACTTTACATTTCATTAGAAGATGGAATTGTTAATGTTAGAATATAATTTGCTTTTTAATTATGGATGAATTTTTATTTATATATTGGACTTTTTATATTATTATATAATTATTGGTTTTTTTTTTTATAGTTATTTTTTATTTAATATAGGTCATTTTCATATTTTTAATAATTTTATTATAGTTTTTTTTTTTAATTTTTTTTGAGACGGCAGAACACTCCGTCTCAAAAAGAAAATTGAAACAGGCTTTTTGCGACAACACTTATACTGTCGCAAAAGGTACGGAATATAATTGAAAAATAAGGCCTTTAACGACGGTATCATACCCGTCGATAATAGTCATTAGCGACGGTTTAGATTGCTGTCTCAAATACACTTTTAGTGACGGTATTTTTACCATCGCAAAAAACCCTTTTAGCGACGGCAATATTGTGCCGTCGCAAAAAACTTAGATTTTCATCCATTATTGGCGACAGAAATTTACCGTCGCAAAAAAAGAATTTTCCCGTCGCAAAAGCGTGCCGTCGCTAAAACCCTTTTGCAACCCCTTTTGTTGCGACCCCCACTTGCCGTCGTAAAAAGTCATTTTACCGTCGCAAAAACCTTTTGAGACGGCATTTGGGGTATTTGCGACGGCGTTTTGCCGTCGCAAAAAACAATTTTTTTTTGTAGTGATTCAATCTACAAATCAAAATTTAATTCCAAAACTAAAAGAAGAAATTACAAAACCAAAAGAGAAATCATAGTTCAACAATATCAATACAAAAGCAAAGTCTATAAGCTATTTTAATGCCATTAAATAGGAGAAATTACAAATAAAATTTCATTTCAAAAGCAAACTAAGTAAAATTTGAAAACTTGAAACTTTAATTTTCACTTCCATCAATTTCATCATTGAATAATACATCTTTTATCTCTGACACATCAAATAAAGGAATTGCAATTTCAAGTTAATCAGAACTCTCTAATGTCCCATAACTTGGTGTACTCTCAATGTACCAATACCGTACCCGGGAAATACCCATGGAGTATCCAACTACAAAAAAATGCATAAAAAGTAGCCGATACGAATTTTGAGTACCTGGTACGCATGCAACTCTATCGGTACGAGTACCAGTACCCGGTATGAGTACAACAACTTTTCGAAGTACCCGTACTTCATAGGTGATGATGCAATTTAACTTTCAGAGAGGCTTCTGTCCGATTTTGTATTTGCAAAAAATTAAGGTTTTAAAGATCAAAATTTAGGGACAAAATTATTTTTTTGTGACCAAATATTTTTATTGTGAAAAGTGTCGTCATTATATTTTTAGCAACAAAAATTGAACATTAGTGATGAATTATTATTCTTTTGGGATCAAATTTTTTGTCTCGAAAAATAAACCATTTTGATACTAAATTATTTTCTCCATAAAAGTCTATTTATTAGTGGCACTTTGAAATTTTTTTCGCTAAAAGCCTTAATTTTGACTTTTCGGGATCACCTTTTAGCAACTATCCTCACGATGATAAAAATTGGTCGTTAAATGTCTGTTGCTTCTTTTTGGGATTACATGTTTCTCACTATAGTATAAATATTATTGTCTCTTTTAAAAAAGAATTTCTTTTTAATTAATTAATTTATTTTTGGGTGTGTTATGGGTTACTGTTTGAAGCTTACAACTTTTATCAACAAGAAGAGAAACGCAGCAGATTCCTGATGTTGATTTGATCCTTTCAATTTTAATTGTGACAATCACCTTTTATACTTTAGGTTAAATTACAATGAAATTCTTCCTTTCATTTAGCCTTAATAAGTCTGACGTGAACAATTAGTAAATTTTTTTTTTTTTTTTTTTTTGCCCTTTTCTTCTCATTACCATCCATATACTTTGGCGCAAAAAATATATTGTATAATATATAATTTGTTGGCAGGATAGGGCTGGCTTGAAACACTCTTCCCAACCCAGGCCTATATCATAATTGGGCCAGAATGTTTTTCCCAACCTGACCTCATGAGCCTAAATCATAATCCAAAGTCCTATAAATCATGGGCAGACTCGAGTGAGCTTAGCAGGCCATTAGGCACATGTCCACTCCACCCTTGGCTAAAACATTAAAATTACAACACCAAGAGCAAAATTGAAACTTCCATTCATTCCAAAGAAAACACACTCAGATCTTGTATAGCTGCAGATCCTTGTAACAATGAAAGTATCAACTCCCCAATTTAAAAGTGTGCATCACAGATTTTCCTTTTAAAATATTAAATAAGTAAAAAAAAATTATATAAATTTATATTGAATTCTAGTAACACTATATTCAAAAAAATGGTTCATGTGATAATACATTTAATGAAATTTCATGACCAAATTAGACTTGTTAGGAAATTTTCTTTATAGTCAATATACTCAATTCACATGTCCCCCACTAATGTCAATAGATTGCTTTTATTGGATCACATATACCCCCACAAAGGTCAATAGACTTCATAGAATAGCCTAAGAAAATACAAAACAATAGGAGTTGGCAAGAAGCCAGGTCACAATTACCACCAAAGCACCGGCATAAATGCATTACACAGGAACTACACTTCGGAACTAAATTTCTTGTCAGCATCCAAAACTTAATTAAGATCCTACTGCAATTCATGACAATGCCAGTACCCAAAAATGTCATAATAATCAGAGGTAATTTAATTATAGTTTTTGTTAGGTTTTGTAATGCGCAATTCCATTGGACAAATCTCCATTGTTGTATTTTTATTCACTCTATTGCTTCTGTGAATTATGAGAATTTAGTTGCGAATCCAACCCGACTCGTGACTGTGTTAGAGAAGTTTGTGTTGACATTCCGTATCGTGACTTGAGCATTCTTATTTGCCACTTCACTGATGAAGGACGGGGTCAAAGTTGTTTGACAGCTTGAGCGATCATTTGTGCGCTCAAGTGGTGAAGTAGATCATTCAGTATCTCTACCTGTATTCTGAACTTCTGAGAAGCAAGTTTTACTGCTTGAGTGGTAGATGTTGCACTCGAGCAATTGGTGTATATGTTTGCACCGCCTTTACTCACACCGCTCGAGCGGTAAAATGTGCACTTGAGCGGTATTCGCAACTCTGTTTAGTATAAAGTGCATCGTTTATTGTTTTTAGGGTTGAACTTGTCCAGATTCTTAGAGATGAGTAAAATACAAAGTGTTCTAGATTGGAAGGTGTTTATATATGAGTTTTCTTGATGTATAGATGGTGATTGATTGATCAACGAATTACATATTGTCAAACATCAAGCGTTTTTTCTCTTCTGTCATTCACAAAAAGAGAGATGGGTTCACCGATAGATTCCGGAAAACTTGGGCCTAAACCTTTGGTGGATTCTAGAGTGGCTCGTGGATTCGACATCAGTGTTTTGGATTCAACGTTGAGCAAAGTAATTCCAAGGTGAAGACGGTGGTGGAAGAGGCACATCGGGTTTGATTAAATTCGGGCGTGAATTCGCTAGGTAATTGAGAGTTCTCGTTTATAATTCTTTTTTGTCTTCTTAGTAGATTGTTTTGTGACTTTGGCCTTTGATTTTTTTTATCATAATTGGAGGTGCTCTAATTGTGATTTTTTCCACATTAAATCGTTGTCCCGATTTTGTTGTTGATTGTTTGATTGGAATTGTTGTTCATTGTTTCAAATTGAATCATAATCACAAATCAATATCTTGGCGGTTCATAGATTTGTCAATTTTAGTCCCTAAAGTACGAGCTTTATGTCATTTTGGTCCTCAATGTCTAAATTGTGTCAATTTAATTTCCAATGTATAAAAGTGTTTCAATTTGGTCCTCAATTTTAAATTGTGTCAATCTACCATCCAATGTATAAAAAGTGTTTCAATATGCCAAAATACCAAATAACTCATACTTTGGAGTTAGAGGTATATATGCAATTAATGCACCAAAAATAGATGGAAGCATTATTAGTTTCTTCTATGCAACCACAAAATATGTTATCACTCATCACACAGTCTAAAGGGTGGGCTATCAATTCCAGGACTGGACATCGTGGGCAAGTTATGCAAGCAAGTTGAGCAATGGAAACAATGCACATTTTCCATTTTGTTATCCCCCACTCTGGTGAAATTGAAGAGAAAAAAAAAATAAAGAAAAAGAAAAAGAAAAAGAAAAGACAAATTAATTCACGTGCATTACAACCCTGCCATTGTGGAATCTTTAGGTTGTTTAGTCACCAACCCAATTAAGGCTGACTCTGCATACAAAACAAAATTAAAAAATAACATTTCAAATTTCAGGAATGAATTCCCAGCTGCTCCAGTTATGTCTCATGGTCATGACATTACTACATGTTGGAATGCTCCCTGCAGCGACTACAGCTAGTACCTTTGGAGGTAACGAGACAGATCGCCTTTCGTTGCTAGCCTTCAAGTCGAAGATAATACACGATCCTTGTCATGTCATTTTGTAATAAATTCATTACATTTTTTCCCCTTTGTTTAGCATTAAAATATTGTCCATTATGCCATTGTGTGGGTAATCTAAAAGATTCAATTGGATTAATGGTGATTTAAATAATTAATAATGCTTTTATGTGTTTGAACTCCATGAATTATGTTAACCCCCAAACCAATCTAGAATGAGTTCATATTTAGGCCCTCTTTTTTGCTCTTTGGTAACTAAATTACAGGACAATGAAGCTTGATGCTTGTCAAAGCGGTGATAAATGGTAAACACTCCGTCAAAAAGGAAGATGATTATGCTTGTAATGTTATCTTCAAACTGGGAATCTATATCTCACAAAGTGTATAAATAATTTTATTATCAGATTATTTCCTAT